TAATATTTCATTAAATTATTAAAAGTAATGCAACCACATGTAAAAATGTCAATTTTCATAGTATGTCAAAAATTATGTTTCTTGCAACTGTTTTATTTTTTAGTGATAGACATTAGATGTTCAACCCAAAAAGTGTGTTGAAGGAGCATATTGTTTTCCAAGGGTCTTTCAGAAGGTAAATGAGCAAAAGTAATTAAAGACCTCTAGTGTATAGAATACCCATTACTTATTCTCAACCTATAAAATGACTCCTCATATGGAAACGAGGATTTGAAGGAAAAAAAAAAAAGACTTCAGAGCTAAAGTCAAGTATCTCTGGGATTTCTTCTATTGCAGTTCCTTCCCCAACATGAAAGTGAAGAGTATTAGAGAAAGAAAGGCACTGAAGTAACTGTAATTAGACAGATAATGTATATGGAAACTCTTGGCAAATGGGCCAAAGCTGCTAATCCCAGTAAGAAGCTGTTAAGAGGTAAAGAAAATCTATTACATGCTATATTTAATTAAGTGGGGTTATATCCCCAAGGTAATCTTTACATGTATTCATAGTTTACCTCTACTTTGATTGTTTAAATCCCTTCTGTTGTTTATTTAAGGCAGGGTTTAACATACTTTTTCTGTAAAAGGCTAGAGAGTAAATATTTTGTGGTTTCTGAACTGTGAAGTCTTGTGTTATAACTACTGTACTCAACTCTGCTACTGTAGGGAGAAAAGAGCCATAGACATTCCATAAACAAGTAGGTGTGGCTGTATACCATTAAACTGTTCATAGGTACTGAATATGAATTTCATATAATTTCCATGTGTCATGAAATCTTCTTCTGGTGTTTTAAACCATCTGAAAATATGAAATCATTCTAAGCTCGCAGGCTGCACAAAAACAAGCAGCAGACCGGCTTTGGCCTGCAGACAAGTTTACGAAGTCTGGTTTTAGACATGGTGTTTAAAGACCCTTTTATACTGAAGAGTGAGAATAATATTCTGGAAGGATACACAAGGAACTGGCCATGGTAATTGTATTTGGGTACGGGAAATGGGTGTCTGAGCTGGGAAGACTTTTTTCAGTATACTGTTTGAATTGTTTACTCTGGGCTTGTGTTACCATTTCAAAAATAGAGTTTCCATTTTTTAAGGTCCATTCAAGAGTTGTAAACCCAATGAATCTGACTTGAGTGGATCCTGCTAACTATCTGGATTCTAGAGAGTTCCGCCATTAGCTAATTAGGAGCATTCACATGGTGGCTCTCCAGTCAGGGATGATAACTTAAATGGTGCAGACTTAAGGGAACAGGGCTTTTCATTTGGGAGAGCAAGTGATAAATTATGTCCTAAGTTTTGTGCCAATAGGGCTTATACCATTTCTCTAGGAAGAGCAAGTCAAATGTCATAGAATTTGGCAGAACTAACCAAGAAAAACAATAAATGCAGATAATTTAATAAAGCCAACATTTCTTGAGAGCTGATTGTATGCCAGGCACTTGATTTGAAGGTGCCAAGTTTATATGAATGTATTGAAGAAAATGTATCACAGGAATCCAAAAGGAAGATGAGTGTGCCTGGAAAATATTAAAAAGCTGTAATGTGCGGTGGAAGGATGGGGGAGCTTGCTGAACATGGCTCAAGGTTAAAAACAACAGATGTGAGACAAGGAGAGCACAGAGGGAAACCTGAAGTCAGAGTCACAGAGCTGTAATATCCTAGTTTTTAAAGACCAGAGGAAATGGGTCTTAAATTACAGAGTATAAGTTTGGGTTGAATTTTAGAAAAACTTTCTGACCATTCACATTGTGGGTTCCTGGAAAATACTATTATGGGAAATTGTGGAATTTCCTATTACAGTGAGAGGAGAAATTCTAGAACAATAATTGCCTAAATTTTGATGGGGAGTGGGGGTGTTTAATCCCATTTATTATACAATGTACAGACATATATACACATTTAGCATCAGGATTCATATACATATTCATATATACACATTATGTACATCCTTATACAATTGATATGTACATACTGAAATTTGAATTTCCCTAGTCCTCAGCTAGCTTGTGAGTATGAATGAGGTCCTGTTAATAGCAACAACGCAATATTTTATTTTTTTTGAGATTTCACCTCTGTCATCCAGGCTGGATGCAGTGGCATGATTAGAGCTCACTGCAGCCTCGACTTCCCAGGCTCAAGTGATCCTCCTGCTTCAGCCTCCTGAGTAGCTTAGCTGGGACTACAGATGTGTACCACCATGCCCAGATAATTTTTTAATTTTTAGTAGAGGTGGGATTTTGGCATGTTGCCCAGACTGGTCTCAAACTCTTGGGCCTGAGTGATCCTCCTGCGTTGGCCTTCCAAAGTGATGGGATTACAGGCAGTAACCACTGTGTCGAGCCAGCAACTCAACTTTTACTGGCTTATTCTTCAGGACCTCCAGCTCCCTATCAAAGTCTCCCTCCCCCAAAACTCCCCAATTATTCCAGGAATGCCTTGGGATCTCTTCATGTTTCTAATTAAGTCTGCTCTGGCTGCTCCTTCCAGAGACACATTTTGTGTCGGTGGGGCAGAGCAGTGCCCAACCAGTAGTTGATTCCTCTGCTGGGCACTTCTGCAGGGATTATGGCAGTGCCTGGGGTGCTGTTTCACAGTTGCCCTAGAAGGGCTCTGAGCCCTCTTAGGTTCAAAGATCTACTGTAATAGATGGCAGAGTTGTTTGAGGACAAGGATGAGGTTGAAACGAGCTCTCTCTCGCCTGTTGAATTGGAAGGATCTACCTTATACCTCAATGTTTCCAGACTTCACTTTTATTTACGACCCTTTCCTTCTCACCTCTGGATGGTAGGAAGGTCTCCTGAATCTAGTATGGGTTGGTCCAACACAGCTACACTGAAAATTACACGTGTCTGTAATGGCTAAGGCTTTCCTTTGGTGGTGAAGTTCATGGTTTCTAGCTTCCCCCTGAGTTTAGAATAATTTTCTCCCAACAAGCCCCTTGTATTAATGAATAGCAGAGTTTGGCAGTAGGGCTTGGTGGAATTTGATAGGACTATGCCATTGGTTTACCAGATGGACCCAGATATGCCTGGACCCCACAGTTGACACAGTTTCTGTCTCTTCTCAGGAGACTCTCCCTCATACTTGCTTCTTCAGCTGCTTCCTCTCTGGTGCTTTCCCATCAATGCAGATTGCTCTGGTATCACCCATCTTTAAAACCTGCCCTTGAAACTACATCCTCCTTCAGTTACTTCCCTATCTCTTGACTCCCTGCCTCTTTACAACCAAACCTCTCGACTGCAGTATCCTGTTCTTTGCCTTCGTAACAGCTTTCATGATAATATATAATCATCTATGTATTTGTGTGATTGTTTAATATCTATTCTTCATTAATCTTGATGTCATGAATCATGAATTTTTTTCTCTTTTGCCATTTTATCTTCAAATGTCTAGCACAGAGTTTAGTGCAGAATAAGTGTTCACTGAATATTTGTTGCAAGCGCTAACACATGAATGAATGAAGCAAACAGGTTTCTGGTGGACTACCTTCCCAGCAACCAAGTGCAGCTGAAACTCACTTCTATTTGAGCTGGAACATTTGGTGAGTGAGAGAGAAAGAGAGACATGAATAGTAAGGAAATCCTAATGAAATACAACTTATCCAAAAAACCCTCTATGTTCTCTTCCTGAGCAGCAAATACAGATAGCTATTTCTTTATAAATAAAGCAATTGCATGTTGGATACAGAATAAAATGTTTGAAAATTATACTCGGAAAACAGCTTGGGAAAAGAGATTGTGACTGCGCACATTATCACTTTTCATTACCCTTTCAAATTACTTCCTTAGGGAATTAGAAGACATAGTGGAAGGAAGGAAAGAAGAAAAGAAGACCTAGAGACGTAGCTCACAGTGAACACTGCTTCTCTTGGGTTACTGGATTTCTTCTGGATATTTCCTCAAGATGAAACTTCAGAAACTTTGGTGAGATTTACCATTATTTTTCTTTTTACTATATCTTTTAAAAAAGCCCAGATCAATACATGACCAACATGGATCATGACAGTGAAAATGAAAGCCCCTGAAATTTCCTCGAAAAGGCATAAATCAAGAAGATCTCTGATTTTCTGATCTGCTGACATAACGCCTAAATAGTCAAAAGCATTTCAGCAGGAAGTGGCTTTAAATTACCATTAATGTTTATAAAAACCTATTCAACTTTATAAAAAAGTTTAAGATAATAAATCATGGATTCGTCTCATTTTAAATCAAGGCCTTTATATTTGTTTCTTTTTTCTAATAGAGACATAGTCAAAATGTCATCATATCTTGCCCAAATCTCTCAAGGGCTGAAATTTGACTGAAAACATATGGTGTTTTTTGTTTTGTTTTGTTTTGTTTTTTTGAGACGGAGTCTTGTTCTGTTGCCAGGCTGGAGTGCAGTGGCGCAATCTCGGCTCACTGCAACCTCCGCCTCCTGGAGTCAAGCAATTCTTTGGCCTCAGCCTCCTGAATAGCTGGGACCACAGGTGCGTGCCACCACGCCCATCTAATTTTTGTATTTTTAGTAGAGATGGGGTTTCACCATGTTGGCAAGGATGGTCATAATCCTTTGATCTCATGATCCGCTCACCTCGTTTTTTTCAGATAGAGAGTATCTCTTATGAAAGCACATATCTTGGGCATTCGTAGGTCCAAATGAGGTATAAAAATGGTAAGTATTGAGAAAAGATACACACAGAAAGGCTACAGTAAAAGGCATTCAAAGGGAGCCCTTTCTACTTTTATAAACTATCTCACTCTCTTCTTGCCTAGCTCTCCTAACCAACTCTTTCTCCCATCTCCACAATTACAAACTCTGTTTATTTTCCTTTCAGGAGTTTTTCTTGAAGACCACCATAAAGAAAGTGCATTTCAATTGAAAAATTTGGATTGGATCAAAAATGAATCTCATTGAACACTCCCATTTACCTGCCACAGATGAATTTTCTTTTTCTGAAAATTTATTTGGTAAGTTGTCAAGTTCATTTGAATGTCAGTAAGAACAAACTACAATTTGGAAATACATGAGGAAATGCCTAGATGATGAGTCCAACCCAGAGTCAATAACAAGTTTTTGTTCCTTCTAAGCATTCAATTAATGTTAGCTACTCTGCAAAGTAAGAAGTAGATCGGACCTTGGATTCATGGGACCTAATGGTCTTCATTTTTATAGATGAGGACTGCAAGAGCTTTGTGGATTGCTCAAGGCCATGAAACTAGATAATTAACAGAGCAGGGAGTAGAGCGTAATTCCTGCTCTAAGGCTAATTCCAGTATTATTATAGCAGGTACTAAACTTTGAAATCATGATTCTTATGGCTTAATATGATACCTATTAAAGGCTGGGTTTACTTAGGTTATATCTGTGGTAGATTTCCTTTTGCAGTTCCTCCAGTGCTGGGGGATATATGGCACAATGTCAGGATTAGTCATTTAAGCTGGATTGAGGACAAATTGTACTAAGCTGTTTTCAGTAGATCTGTAACTAGATGATACCATAAAATGATATATTGCTCCACTTATGCATTTATGAAAAACATCTCAATATAAAGAGTTGCAACTGAGGTCATTAACAGTCAGCCAAGGCAATATTTTGGGTGGGGCAGGGAGCCTTTCTGCCAGTGTTAAAATAATTCCCTTCTGTATAATAGTCCTCCCAGGAGCCTGGGATGCTCCCAGTTTTCACCCTACATTAATATATGGGCTATGATATACCATAATAGTGAAAACACAAACACTAGAAGTTCCTCAAAGTTCCATGCATGAAGGTATGATCCCTTATTTTGTTGCTGATATTCCTATGAGCTGTTAATAACTTGTGCTGTTACCTGTTAGTCATTAGCACTTTAGTGTGTGATAGGCCATTTTCAAAAAAGGGTCATTATTTATGGGGATGTAATAATTGTTGACATGTCTACCTGCCTCCACAGAGTACAAATGCATATAAGGACAGTAACCATATTTCATTAATCTTTTATTATCCAGTGCATATTTAGTATGCATTTGATAAATAAGAGTCCAGTAATAAATAATAGAAGGGAAAGGAAAAAGAGCTTTAGGGAAAAGCAGATGTTGATCAGTAACTCTCCGAGAGACCAAAGGCAGCAGTAATTATTTATTAAATGCCAGTTCTCCCAAGTACTTGCTGCATCATGTTTCTTCCAGTTGGCTTATCTTCACCCTGTAGATACAGTCAAGGGCAGTGGGAGGCCCTGCCTCCATGTCTACCCACTTGATCATTTGCTTCTGGCCTGCTGGCCCTTCTGTGGTTCCTCAGAAGGAAATCAATGTATAAACATCTTAATGAATTTTTCTTTTAGCAATCAGAACTCATAGAATTATTAGGACTGTTGGCACATACCAGAGATGAAGGATAATTTCACTTGTTTTTTTTTTTTTTTTTTCAAATAAAAACTGCCATTTCCTTTTGTAAAATTTTATGATTGTTGGTTGAGATCTCTGAGCTTAGGCTTCATCATTACTAAACCGATCTATTCAGCTCCAATTTGTATACAGAGAAAAAATTGTAGGGTTTTTCTTACAAGCTAGCCTAATTTTCAGCAAACACACAAGATTTCAGGGTGACTTCAGCAGCCATAAGTTGAAAAAGATGTCAGTAAATACAGAAAAAGCTATGACAATGCTGTCAGGTTAGAAGCATCTAAAAATAATTGTAAGGAAGCACTGTGTCTTCTGCTTTTATGGTGTGGTTCTCTGCTCTCTCTTTTTCCAGACCACATTCTTATTCTGTTTCCTAACGCTCCATTTGAGGTTTCTGAGAATATGTAACACAAACTGCATGAGCTGCAATGCATAGCTATAATTCTTGGCTGGAGCAGTTTCCTCAACTTTTTATCTGGTTCCCTTTACTGGCAAGCTAATCTGACCATGTGTGACCATTAGGACTCCTTTTCTGCTTCTCCACTAAGCTGTAAAGCCAGGTCGAAGCATTTTTTCTTTTCTTTACTTTCTCCCTCCCTTCCTCCCTCTATCCTTCCTCCCTCTTTCCCTTCCTCCCTCCCTCCCTCCCTCCTTCCTTCCCTTCCCTTCCTTCCTGCCACAAAGTCTCACTCTGTCACCAGGCTGGAGTGCAGTGGGGCAATCTCATCTCACTGCAACCTCTGACTCCCTGGTTCAAGAGATTCTCCTGACTCAGCCTCCCAAGTAGCTGGGATTACAGGCTAAGTAAGCATTATTTTCAAATCTCTTTCCTCCAGGCCCTCGATCTCACTTCACTTAACATACCCAAGCTAAAGGTATGCCAAAGGGGAGGACAAAGAAAATTTGATTCCTTCATTTCCCTTCCCTATCGTCTTGTGTGTCATGATGACATTGATGGCTTCTATGACCCCTTCATGTGCTTAGGGTGTAAAGCACCAGAAAAAAGACTGGGTCATGAATGAGTAGTCCACAGGCCTAACTCAGTACTCCTGGGTCTAAGCTATGCCATGGGTTCAGAAGGGTTAATCTATGGGTTCAACTACCCAGAAAGCCAGACTCTTTTTCAGTGGTTAACTGTGTATTCAAAACAGCAAATGAGGTTAATGGAATAGTCTATGGATAGCTGTCATTTCTTCTCTTCAAATATTGGGCCCTGACAATATGCTGGGCCTTGGAATAAAGCGGGGAATAGGACAGGCAAGATCCTAGTGGAGAGCACTCACAATAAACTTGTAAATAAATCAATAAGCAAAATAATATCATTTTTATACCTTATTTGGACCTAAAGATCCCAAGGTAGTGATATGTGCTATGAAAGCAACAAAACAGAGTGATGCCTTAGTGTCTGGAGGGATGGGCTGTTCTAAGTGGTATGGTCAGGAAAGGCCCTTGAGGAGCCCACAGTTGAGTTCAGCCTAAAAGACAAGAAGCCAGAGAGAACATTCCAGGAGAAGACAGTAACAAGTATAGAGGCCCAAAGTATGAAATGGACTTGGAAGGGCCTCGTCTTCTACTTGTTTTTCTTTTTGTTGTTGTTGTTGTTATTGTTGTTTTGCTTTGTTTTGAGATGGAGTTTCACTCTTGTTGCCCAGGCTGGAGTGCAATGGCACGATCTCGGCTCACCACAACCTCTGCCTCCCAGGTTCAAGCAATTCTCCTGCCTCAGCCTTTATTTTTAGTAGAGATGGGGTTTTTCCACATTGATCAGGCTGGTCTTGAACTCCCAACCTCAGGTGATTTGCCCTACTTGACCTCCCAAAGTGCTGGGGATTACAGACATGAGCCACCACACCCAACCTCTACTCATTTTTATGTGGGGGTAGACAACTGCTTTCCCAGAGACTTCTCTTTCCCGTTAACCAGCTGTACAGCCTTGAACAACTCCCTCAAGTTCAAATGGTAAAAGCAGATTATCAGGCTGGGAATTCTAGGACCCCATCTAGGTTAAACATTTGAGTCCACAAAAATGCTGCAGTTGCCCATGTCAGGAAGAAGTGATTCAGTGGTACTCACCTGGTACACGGCTCAACAAGTCCTTTTAAAGTTGTCCTGAGGCTGGGCACGGTGGCTCAAGCCTGTAATCCCAGCACTTTGGGAGGCTGAGGCGGGTGGATCACGAGGTCAAGAGATCGAGACCATCCTGGTCAAAATGGTGAAACCCCGTCTCTACTAAAGATACAAAAAATTAGCTGGGCATGGTGGCGCATGCCTGTAATCCCAGCTACTCAGGAGGCTGAGGCAGGAGAATTGCCTGAACCCAGGAAGCGGAAGTTGCGGTGAGCTGAGATCGCGCCTTTGCACTCCAGCCAGGGTAACAAGAGGGAAACTCCGTCTCAAAAAAAAAAAAAAAAAAAAAAGTTGTCCTGGGCATGGCCCTTTTCACTGCAGGTTATTATAAAGGTCATAATTCAATTCCAACTTTAAGGCATTTAGAAGGTGACCTGAAGACAAATATTGATAAGCACTCACTATTGGGTGCTGGAGACACTAATGACCTTTTCACTGATAACTTGCAGCTTCTTCTAGAGGTGACCATGGGCACCTCACTCTTCTCACTCTTAAGGCTATGCTTAAGGTGAAGGGGAAAATATCTTCAACCCTGTAAATGTTTATTCCAAAAAAGAGAGCCCAAATGAGGACTTCTGTGAAAGCAGTTTATGTGAGAGGTGATGGGGGAGTAGAGGCGAGGGAGTGGGTGATGGCCTCAGGGAAGGAGGGGAAACCAAACAGGTAGGTTGTCAAGATCCCTGCTGTGGGTGAGGCCCACCTGATGCCACTGGGAGTAGCACACAGAATTGTCAGCGGAGGGGTCAGGGACTGGAGAATATATTAATATTAACTGACCCCTGGCTCTCGTTAGTTGAGCGTCATCCCAGGGAGCATTAACTCCCTGCCCTTCTGGACTGTTTTGAGCTCAGGCCAAGCTGTCTCCATGGGATTGGAGAAGTTCTGGGCAGAAAGCAAAGGGATGTGCAGCATGCTCTTGAAATGACGGCAGTCAGCCTGTGGTCATCATCCGAGCTTGCATTATGATCAGCTGCCATAGCTATGGCCCAGGTCAGAGACTGGCTGAAGGGATGTGACAGCATCACTAGAAAAAGAAGAAAAGAAGCTTGGACAGAATGGATTAGAGAGATGGGGGCTGGAATCACCTCCCTGAAGTCCTTTAATTTATTCTATGGCCTGGGTTTATCCCTGACAAACCCAGATGGGAATCTAGCCTGTCAGTAACTGAATCCACATAGAGGCCTGGGGGTGGAAGAACACAGTTACCACACAGAGATTCGTCTCCTTTCCTCTGGGAGATCCTGCAAGCCAGGAAGCATGGTCAAAGATTAATTTAGTGGATTAAATAAGGCTTCTCTGTTGAATGAAGAAGGCAAGGTTTTAGGCAATTAATGCATAATAAAAAGTAATAATGACAAAGTCCACAGCTTCCCACTATTTGACACAGTGAATAAGATAGGAGATGGCATATTAACTAAAGTCTATATTTACTTTTAGCAAATTAGGGTTTAAAAACTCAAAAATTACAAAAACGTAAAGACTAAATTAAGAAACAAAGCATTCCAACAATAAGACAGGAGAAACAAAAGAAGTACAGTCTTATCCTCCCACACTCAATGTTCCCAGTACAGTGGTTCCTGATTCACTGAGCACAGTGACACTGGGAATGGAAATGAGGAATAAAATCGAAGGAAATGAAATCTCAGAGGCAAGTGAGATTCTCTGAACTTCAGTTTTCCCCTCTGTAAAATGGGGATAATAATGTCACACTTCACACGTTGCTGGGAGGAAGGAATGGGCCGTGTGGGAAAGTGCTCTGTACGCTGCAAGGCATCCTAAAATGTTATAATTAATTCAGAGTTTGAAATGCAGTTGTTATATTTTAAATTGTTGAAATGATAAACACCATTCCACTCATTAAAAGAAGGAAGTACTGTTTATTTCAGCATTGTGGAGTGCAAAGAACTTTCAAGGGGCCAGAAAGAATCAACAATATGTAAATAAGGCCGGGTGCAGTTGGCTCATACCTGTAATCTCAGCACTTTAGGAAGCCAGGGTGGGCAGATCACCAGAGGTCGGGAGTTCAAGAGCAGCCTGGCTAACATAGTGAAACCCCGTCTCTACTAAATATACAAAATTAGCTGGGTGTGGTGGTGCATGCCTGTAATCCCAGCTACTCGGGAGGCTGAAGCAGGAGAATCACTTGAACCCAGGAGGCAGAGATTGCAGTGAGCTGGGATCATGCTACTGCACTCCAGCCTGGGTGACAGAGTGAGACTCAGTCTCCAAAAAAAAAGTAAATAAATTTCTGGATACCCTAAGGAAGGGAACACATGTTTTGTCTCATGTTTGCATTATTACATTGCTAACAACACCTTTGGAATCCATGTCTTGTATTGCATTTAATTGTATTCGTCTTTCCAGAGTCCTATTCTGATTGAGGCCTGTCAAGTGTCAGGAGGTAAATCCTATATAATCCCACTCCCTTATCTTTCACTTCCTTTGGTTATTTCTCATTGTCTTATGCTTCACTCAGCTGTGCATGCCCATTTTATCAGGATCTGCTTTAGTTTTTTCTTTTTATCTTCATAGAGACAGAGCCTTGCTCTGTCACCCAGGCTGGAGTGCAGTGGCACAATCATAGCTCACTGCAGCCTCGAACTATTGGGCTCAAGCAATCCTTCCTCAGCCTCCTCATGCTTTATTTTCAACAGAAGACACTCACTTTGAAATATGGTTCTTCCCAGTGTCTTATGCTTAAATTAAAAGAATCTTCCAGATGTTACAGAATCAGTCAGTTGTTTTAAAACACAATTAAAGATTTTGAGATGCAGTTTTGTAAAATATTTCTGACATTTGATTTCAGGTATTTTTCCATCTCACTGAGTTCGACTCAGGTGAACGTAGTTCTGACTTCTTGGATGAATTAAAGTTGAAAGTTTCCAAAAGATGGAGAGATACCTTGGCTCAGATCAAATGAAGCTTTGTTTTAGCATACTTGAAATATTTTGTCACTGCTGTTTCTTCTCCACAGCTCTTCCATAGCTGTGAGTAGTCTCTAAGGCATTTAATTTACTGTGACTTTGGTTTTTGCTTTCCCAGTGAATCTCAGCTCTGGTTCTCTTGTTAGTGGAGTAAAGAAATGACAGAAGGAAAGAAACATTGAATGAGCCTTTTCTTACGAAAATAGGTTACTGCTTCTTTCAGCTAGGGCATGCAGAGTTTGGAAAAGGTGTGTAATGAGTCAGAGAGCTGGCCCGCTGGGGGTGATTCCACTGCAGCCGAGGCCTTAGCTCCCAACTTTGAAGACTAAGAAACAGATTTTTAAGGGCACCAAGTTGAAAAAGATTGACTATAAAATCGTATTGCAAATGTATTAACTTGCAACAGCTACTATTTCTTGGGTGCTTTATAGAAACTCATGTGTCAGATATCAAGCTAAGTACATTTTAGATTTGTTAGCAGATTTCCTGGGTTGATTCCAGTCTCTGCCATCTACTACTCTGTGGTCTTGGGCAAATTCCTTAACATTGTGCAAGTTACTTGCCTTATTTAATAAGGTGATAAGAAGAATGCCTGGCACATCACAAGTACTCTATTTGCCATTAAAATTAACTCTCACAACACTCCTGTAAGGTAGATACCATTACTATTCCCCTTTTATGGTGAGCAAATGAATATTTAGTGATGTTAGATAATTTGCTTAACATACCATAATTAGTAAGTATGCAATTGAAATATAATCAGGACAAGGAAACAAAATTCAATGTTTAAGTCTCCAGGCTAAGAGAATATACTCCTATCCACCTCTCAACTGGGTAGGTCTTTCAATCAGATTATCGTATTTGAAAGTCTGCTGACCATGTATGGTCTCAAGAATAGTTCTCAAAAAAAAAAAAAAGCATTGCCAACTTATACTCTGGGACCTCCCTTTTTTCATGCCTTCATAGCTGGTGCCCCACTCAGCATGAGGGGTACAACATTCACGGTGCTCTTGAGTACTATACAGAACAGTGCTGTCAGAACTTTCTGTCATGAAGAAAATGTTCCAGATCTACTTCATCCAATACAGTAACCATTATTTGCATATAGTTATTGAACCCTTAAAATGTTACTAGTGTCACTGAGGAACTGACTCTAATTCAACTTGATTTAAAAAGCCTGATATGCTTTGACTCTGTGTCCCCACCCAAATCTCATCTCAAATTCTAATCCCCACATGTTGAGGGAGGAACCTGGTGAGAGGTGATTGGATCCGGGGTTGGTTTCCCCATACTCTTCTTGTGATAGTGAGTGAGTTCCCACGAGATCTGGTTGTTTGATAAGTGTCTGGTGCTTCTCCCTTCTCACTCTCCTGCTGCCTTTTGAGGACATGCTTTGCTGCCCCTTCACCTCCCACCATAATTGTAAGTTTCCTGAGGCTTCCCTAGCCATGCAGAACTGTGAGTCAATTAAACTCTTTTTCTTCATAAATTACCTAGTTTTGGATAGTTCTTTATAGCAGTGTGAAAACAGACTAATAAATAGCCAAACATAGCTAGTGGCTACTGTTTCAGACAGCAGAGCTATTCGGGAGAAAAAAAAATCTATTTTTAGGGAAAAATAATATGAGGCAGTTGATTTTCTCTAAGAGAAATGCAAAGAGATCCAATCAGTCTTGTTATGAGAACATTCTGTGTGAATTTCACTCAGCAACAAGGGTTTCCTGGGTCAGCTACATTATCCTGCTCTTTTCTTATATAGTATGGATGTTTCTGAGGGCAACAGACAGGTCCATTTATTTTGGCCAGTGAAAAACTCAGTGGAGAATTCTTGAAATGGAAAATTCGGAATCATTCATCTAGGTTCATAGCCTTTGGGTAGCTCTTTCACCTACGATCCTCTCAAGGCAAGGATAGCTCTTGGATTGTGAGGAGGGGAGAATGAGGTCAGAAGTAAACTGAGGACTAAAAATAGCTTTGCAGATGGTGACCCTTGATCAAGCAATTCAAACTGAAATATGCCCATAGACCACCACTCTTTTCCTCTTTTTTGGCAATTAGGGAAAGTGTACCTTAGTTTTTCAACCACGGGATTTTGAGTCAGAAGACCTGGGTTAAAGTCTCAGCTTCATTCTTTACTAATGGGATGACTATAGACAAATTACTGAAACTCACTGAGTTTAAAAATAGGCTTAAAGATAGTGGATATCACAAGTAATACCTCCCTCAAAGGATGCAAGTGAAGATCTGCTGAGATAATGCATATGGAACCGCTTTGCAAACTTGCGAAGGCTATAGAAATGTCTTAGTAATCATTATTCCACTTGGATAGCTCACCTTTGCCTTTTAATACTGCTTTCATATTTACTATCTCATTTTATCTTCAAAACAGACCTAAGTAGGGAAGGAATTATTATCTGTGTTTTACCATCTATTGATGTTGGCAAATGGGGCCCACAAAAGCTGAGAGACGCACCTAAAGTTACACAGCGCATCTGGCTACATTGTGCCCGGTTCCACCCTGGATCAACTGAGTCCCCTTCTAAATCCCTCATTTCTAAAAAGCAACCAATAGACTGAAGCTTGATGTCCAAAAGTTATGCCTCAGGATAAAAAATAGAATTATTCCTATTCAATAAGCAAGCCAAGGTACAATATGGGTCCAAAGCTGAGCAATCATAACATAAACATAAAGATGATGGGTAGCCACCCATTGTGCTAAGAATTTTATAAACATTATTTTAGTTAATAATCAAATATAATTCTTGGAGGTTGTATAGTTATCAGCCCCATTTTACAACCAAGAAAATTGAGGCAGAAAATGGTTCAGGAATGTTTCCATTATCCGCAGAGCCAGTAATTGCCAAGAGAACCTGGATGTATTAGTTTTCTGAGACTGCTGTAACAAAGTACCATAGACTGGGTGGCTTATATCACAGAAATTATCTCACAGTTCTGGAGGCTGGAAGTCCAAAATCAAAGTGTCAGCAGAGCTGGCTCCTCCTGAAGGCTGTGGGTGGAGGATCTGCTCCAGGCCCCACTGCTTGGCTTGCAGATAGCTGTCTCCTCTCTGTGCCTTCACATCAATTTCCCTCTCTGTGTTTCTGTCTCTGTAACCAAATTTCCAATTTTTATAAGGATAAAAGTCATATTGGACTTTCATTTTAATTTGATTTTCTCTGTAATGAGCCTATCTCCAAATAAGTACATTCTGAGGTACTGGGGTATAAGGCTGCAACATATATACATCCTTGTCTTACAATGGTTCAACCTACTATTTTTAGACTTTTCAGTGGTGTAAAAGAGACACTTTCAGCATAGTTTTCTTTTTTCTTTTCTTTTTTATTTTTATCTTTATTTTTGATGTCTTGCTCTTTTGCCCAGGCTGGAATGCAATGCCATGATCTTGGCTCACTGCAACCTCTGCCTCCAGGGTTCAAATGATTCTCCTGTCTCAGCCTCCTGAGTAGCTGAGACTACAGGCATGTGCTACCATGCCCAGCTAATTTTTTGTATTTTTAGTAGAGACGGGTTTTCACCATGTTAGCCAGGATGGTCTTGATCTCTTGACCTTGTGATCCGCCTGCCTCAGCCTCCCAAAGTGCTGGGATTATAGGCATGAGCCACTGCACCTGGCCAATTTTCAATAAATTACATGAGATATTCAGTACCTTATTATAAAAAGGCTTTGTGCTGAATGATTTTGTTCAACTATAGGCTAATGTAAGTGTTCTGAGCACATGTAAGTTAGGCTAGGCTAAGCTATGCTGTTTGGTAGGTAGGTGCATTAAATGCTTTTTTGAATTATGGTATTTTCAATTTATGATGAGTTTATTGGGATGTAACCATATTATAAGTCAAGGAGCACCTGTATTAATTTGGGGGGTGGGAACAACTCTACCTGTAACTCTGTGTACAACAGTGGGCCAGGTCATCCGGCCTACACGCATCACACTGTTAAGCATTGTGTTAGTCCATTTTCATGCTACTGATAAAAACATACCTGAGATTGGGTAATCTATAAAGAAAAAGAGGTCTAACGGACTCACAGTTCCACATGCCTGGGGAAGCCTCACAATCATGGTGCAAGGCAAAAGGCATATTTTATATGGTGGCAGGCAAGAGAGAATGAGAGCCAAGTGAAAGGGGAAATCCCTTACAAAACCATCAGATCTTGTGAGACTTACTCACTATCACAGGAACAGTATGGGGGAACCAACCTCATGATTCAAGTTTCTCCTACTGTCCCTCCCACAACACATGGGGATTATGGGAGCTACAATTCAAGATGAGATTTGGGTAGGGACACAGCCAAACCATATCAAGCATTATGCTTTAAAATGCTTCCTGATGTTACAAAATTATACCATTCTGCCACCTTTTGGTGGGAACAAATGTCAAGACCCAGAGCATGGAACTTGACCTCCAAGTCCAGTTTTAGAGCCACTGAACAGAAACCCACCCTCTAAAAGTTCTTAAATTGTAAAAATCTTCCCCAAAAATGTTTATCTAAGAGACTGGTTTCCAGCTTACTAGGCAATTTGGCATTGAGGACTTTTCTCATAAACATTTACAAATATTGTGCTCTGTAATGAAGTTAATCAGTAAACCACACAACCTCTGGCCTCTCTCTCACTCCTTACCTAGTCTCATTTTCAGTTGCTGTGAATAAGCTAAGAATGGTAATGCAGTTTCAGGGGTTAGAAAATCCAATTCAAATTAGCCCTCACTGCAGCTGTACACCGCCAGGATTTTTCACGGAAATGATTAGTATGAAGCCTGCGAAAGGTAGGACACCGTTCACAGGTGCTCTCAGGTCGAACTCTTGCAACTGGACTGAGGAAATCTGGGGACTTTGATTGGAAATGACAGCAACAGATGTCTGTCAAAGATGGTGGCTCAGTCAGACCCAGAAGACTGGTGTGGGAGTTTGGATTGGGGTGATTTTTAAAGGGTTCTAAACGGACAAATATCTTACAGGGATGAAATCTAAAAATGTTTCCCCTAAAATTTTTCATAGAATATTATGTCAAATTAGCACCATTCTTTCAAACCAAATGTTAGACAGTTCTAACTAATATCAATGAACACTTGAAAAACATTTTAATATACATCATTTAATGCAGTGTTTTTAAAATGGCAAGTCTCAGATACCAGGGGATCACATCTATTTAGTGTTTTGTGACTGACATTAAAAACTGGATTAGAACATAATAGAACAGAAATATCAGAGTGCCCACAAGAAGTGAAGTGATATTTCATGAAGTTTAAGAGTTTGGAAAACACAAGCTAATGAACTAGTTTCACAGGAGGTTTCTCCCAACAGTCTATGAAATATCAGATAAACACAGAGTTGAGCTTTAGGCTGAAGCTCTTGGTTTTCTCTGAATTACAACATAGATTATAATTAAAACACAGTAGAATGTAAAGAGTATTTCAATATTTTTTTTTCTTTTTTTTGGGGGGGGGAGGAGGAAGGCAGGAAGGAAGGGAATAAGGACGGTAGGGAGGAAGAAAGGGATGAAGGAAGGAAGAAAGGGAGGAAGCGGGGAGGGAGGGAAGGGAAGAAAGGAAATCAAGCAATGAAAGAGACATTGCCGACCTGGATCTAGAGGTTTACAAGTTGATTTCTTTTTTTTTGAGAGAAGGAAAGAAAAAAAAAATAAGTAAAGGAGAGGAAGAAAGAGGAAGAGAAAGAGGGAGAGTAAATGGAAATATTGCTTTATTTTGAAAAAAATTGGGTATTAATAATGGCCAATCAATGTTTCATTTAAACTAATGGGTGGGTGTGATGTGGTATTGACAAGAATGTATATTGAAGTGGAGAGCTCTATAAATATTTATTAAGTTTACTTGTTCCAGATCTGAGTTCGAGTCCTTGATATCCTTATCAATTTTCTGTCTCATTGAATCTATGTCTCCTATCTGGGTGTTAGGATCGTTAGCTCTTGTTGTTGCATTGATCCTTTTACCACTACATCTTTGTTGCTTTAAAATCTATTTTATCCGATACAGGAATTGCAACTCCTGCTTTTTATTTATTTATTATTTATTTTTGCTCTCCATTTGGTTGGTAAATCTTTCTCCATCCCTTTGTTTTGAGTCTGTGTATCCTTGCATGTGAAACAGGTCTGGATGTAACATGCCGTTGGGTTTTGGCTGTGTCTTTTGATTGGGAATTCAGTCAATTTAAATTTAGGGTTACTGCCATTTGATGTTGACTGGCTGTTTTATCCATTTGTTGGTGTAAATTCTTCTTTATGTTGGTGCTCTTTACTTTTTGGTGTATTCTTAGAAAGGCTAATACTGGTTGTTTCTTTCTGTGTGTAATGCTCCTTTCAGAAGCTCTTGTAAAGCAGGCCTGGTGGTAATAAAATCTCTGAGTTCTTGCTTGTTCATAAAAGATTTTATTTTTCCTTCAGTTGTGAAGCTTAGTTTGGCTGGATATGAAATTCTGGGCTGAAGGTTCTGTTCTTTGAGGATGTTGAATATTGGCCCCCACTCTCTTCTGGCCTGTAGAGTTTCTGCTGAGAGATCTGCTGTAAGTCTGATAGGCTTGCCTTTGTGGGTAATCTGACTTTTCTCTCTGGCTGCCCTTAGTATCCTCTCCTTCGTTTCAACCCTGGTGAATCTAACGATTATGTGCCTTGGGGTTGCTCTTCTTGAGGAATATCTTTGTGGTGTTCTCTGTATTACCTGGGGTTGAATGTTGACCTGCTTTGCTAGTTTAGAAAAATTTTCCTGAATAATATCCTGAAGGGTATTTTCCAGCTTGGATTCATTCTCTCCGTCGCATTCAGGTACACCTATCAAACGTAAATTTGGTCTTTTCACATAGTCCCACATTTCTTGGAGACTTTGCTCATTCCTTTTTATCCTTTTTTCTCTAGTCTTTTCTTCACGTTTTATTTCATTAAGTTGGACTTTGACCTCTGATATCCCTTCTTCTGCTTGAACAATTCGAGTGTTTAAACCTGTGCATACTTCTCGGAGTTCCTGTATTGTATTCTTCAGTTCCATTAATTCACTCATACTCCTCTCTAAGTTGTCTATTCTCAATAGGATTTCATCAAACCTTTTTTCAAAGTTCCTAGTTTCTTTACGTTGGGCTACAACATGTTCTTTTAACTCACCGAAGTTTGTTATTATCCATTCCTTGAAGAGTGATTCTGTCATCAGGATGCGCTCGTTCTCCATCAAGCCTTGTTCCATTGTTGATGTGGAACTGTGATCATCTTTAGAGGGAGAGGCGTTCTGACTTTGAGTATTCTCAGCTTTTTTACGCTGGTTTCTTTCTGTCATTTTAAATTTATCCTCCTGTCGTCTTTGAAATTACCAACTTTCAGATTAGGTCTCTTGAGTGGACGTCCAGGTTGTTAGTTCCCAGGGCCAGAGCAGCGGCGTTAATACTGATGGTGCTTTTCTGCCCAGGATTCTCCTGTCGGGCTTCCTTCTTGTGTCCGTAGTAGGCGACTCTGCCTTCCCGGGGCTTCAAACCTCCGTCAGAAGGGGAACCGGTCCTGTTTACTCTGCGCCGAGCGCTGCCGCGTCGAGGTGCCGGTGGAACCGCTGCGCCGACCACGAGAGTCACGCTGGCGACTCGTGTGTTTCCACCACTGGGGGATCTTCTGCTCCGTGAGCGACCAGACTTTGTCTGAAAGTGTGGCGTCCTCTAGTTCTCCGTGCCTTCCCTGAGAGCTGCAATCCCGGGATGTTAGCGATCGGCCATCTTGGATCGTTCTCGAGTATTTCAATATTTTTTTAAAACAGAAACTCATCTTTTAAATTTCCAACAAGAAAAAATTTGAATAATTTTTATAATAATGATAATTGTGAACATGTTTTTGTTCAAATGTCATGTTTAAATGTAATGTTTAAAAGCGACCGACACCATATTTAGAAATGGAAATTAGTTGGAAGGCTGGGGAAGCAAATTTTCCATTCACTTCAATTTAATCAACATTTACTATGTGTCAGGCATTGTGTTAGATGCCAGGAATGTAAAGAAGAAAATGCAATCTATTATTTTCCCTCAAAGAGTCCACGGCCCAACCACAAAATCAAAAAGGTATGAATGTTTATGTGGTGTCAGGTACTATGCAGATTACATTCTTTGTCTTAGTTCATCTTTATTACAGCCTCTCTGCAGACACTACATTATTTCAGCTTGTAAAGGAAGGAACAGAAGCTTAAAGAAGTTCAATGTGTTTTTCAGGCTCATATACCTAACAAGTTGTGGGTGAACTGAATTCAGATTTGTTCGCTCAGAGGGCACTCTTAGGTAGTAGCTCATACCATCTCAAGCATGGAAGATAAGCCTGTAAACAAAAGAAATGATTGTATGTGCTTCCAATATGTTTCACATTAGAAGTGTGTACAGAGGTAGGAGAGGTGAATTCCACCTGGGGGAACTGGTGCAGGCCTCCTGGTGTAGGTTATCAGGAGTAGGTGATAAGCTGACAAGGCAGGGAGAGGCACTGACATCAGAAAGGCCTGATGCCAGGAGCAGCAAACAACTGCAAGTAAAGCCCTGCCATTTAGTGACGAAACCATGGATTCAGAAATACAGAAAGGCAGAAAAAGCAATTTTTCCACCTACTGCAATTCAACAGACATTCATTAAACATTACTATGGTCAGCATTGTGCCAGGGATGAAAAACCGGATATGACCTGGATGCTTTCTTGGGAGCATCAGAAATTCACTGTGAGATTATGGGAGAGTGCCATTGCTTTTATGCAAACCTGATCTCCCATTTGGGGGTACAGTGGTTCTGGTCCCAAACTCCTTAGAGCTGCACTGGCTAATATGCCACATGTGGCTCTTCAACTTTAAATTTTAATTTAGAATTAAATAAAATTTAACATTCAGTCTCTTAGTATCTATCACTAGCCACTTTCTAAGGGTTCAATATCCCTACGTGGTTAGTGGCTCCCATATTGGCAGGTATAGAACCTTTCTGTCACCTCAGAAAGCTCCCTCAGATGGCACTCCTTTAGGGAAGGTGTTGAAACCTGGAGACTGTCTACCCAGAAGAATTTTACTTTCTTCTCAGGGCTTCTCAGATTGCCCTGGAGTCCATCCCTGTGTTCTCATTTCAGAACTCTTCCCTAAACTCTCATGGAGAACTGTCACAAAGGAATCCTAATTCTCATACTCTTTCATAACTATTTCCAAAATAAAAATTGCTAAATCTAAATTTTAATATGCATTTTTCTGTTAAATTATATCAAAATAGAAATAAATTTACCTTTTCAGAAAGCATACTCTAAAGTCAAACTACCTCTACTCCCTCCCCATCTTATTTTCTGTCAGACAATGTTGTATTTGCTTACTTGTTTACTCATTTTTGTCCCAACCCTAGACATCTCCAATTCCCAAAACACACAAACAAGAGAAAGGCTGAGCCTTTATACGTGTCTTTTTTACTTTCATATCCTCACACCCTAACACAGTGACTGCTAAATAGCAAGTGTTTTTATCATACACACACACACGAGAGAGAGAGAAAGGAGAGCGTGAGCACGTTTATAAATATATATTTGTAATGAAAGCACTATCCTAATACTATATCATCAAGACAGACTATGTGTTAATAATTACTTATTAACTATCAATTAACTATCACTAAAATGATTTTGCTAGGTTCTTTAGAAAACAGCATGTCTTTTAATGACATTCAACTTACCGAAACTGCTTCTCAACAACTGAATTTTATATTCAGAACTACCTTCTGAGATAGCAACAGTCCCATCTTACAGAAGACACTGAAATAGAAAAAGCTTAGGCCGTGAAGATGTCACAGTCAGTTAATGGTGGAAGTTGTTCTAGTCCAACCATTTTGGAATATGTTGGCCATGCTGGTTCTTTGGTTGTAAGGCGCCTTTGTAGTTACCTCTCTATTTCTGGAGATTTAGGGGACACACTATGAAATACTAGAAATGGGTGTGCTTTGAGAATAGAAGTTTTTTTTGTTTTGTTTTTGAGATGGAGTCTTGCTCTGTTGCCCAGGCTGGAGTACAATGGCGTGATCTAGGCTCAGTGCAGCCTCTGCCTCCCATGTTCAAGTGATTTTCCTGACTCGGCCTTCTGAGTGGTTGGGTTACAGGCGCCTGCCATCATGCCCAGCTAATTTTTGTATTTTTAGTAGAGACAAGATTTCATCATGTTGGTCTGGTTGGTCTTGAACTCCTTACCTCAGGTGATCCACATGCCTTGGCCTCCCAAATTCTGGGATTATAGGCATGAGCCACTGCACTCGGCCAAGAATAGAAGTATTATTTAATATTATTGTGTACTGTTCTCATGTTTTTACTGATGTTCTACTGTTTTAGCATAATATTGTCTATATCTCTGTGAAAGCTCTCCATTTTGATCTAGATCATTCCAAGGATTGATATGACAGTGATATCATTATCTAACTTGGGTTGGACTCCATTGTGTTTCTTGATTATGAAAATATTTGTTTTGTTGGAATAATGCTTAGAGATTTTAGAATTATCATGTGAGGAGAAAAAAAATACACATTTCCTTGGATTCTACAGAATCCAGATTCTACTGGGTTTTGACCTTGGGCAAATTACTTAATTCTTACTAGACTTGTGGCAGAGAGAAACTGGGCTGAGGGAGGAAGGGGAGTTAAGGGAATAAGATAGGTTGGAGGACAAAATCTAGGTGTAAGTGAAACTAATGCTTTTAATACTTTTTACTTCTTTTCAATTCTGTTCACTCCAGAAATTTTCATAGTATTTGGTGATGAAATAGATCAGGATTTTGCTTATATTTTATCTTTTCTTTTTGTGTAATAATTCCATATTTTTCCCCTTCCATTTTGTGGTGAGAAGACAAAGAACCATTTCTAAAATGTTTTATCTGCAGATATACTCATTTTATGTTGTTTTTATATGGATAAGTCAGACAGAAGGAAAGGAAATTGATTTTTGTACAGATACTGTATACCGTGTGCTCTGTCAGTCATTTCCTGGGTTAATGCAGAAAGCATTCTTTTCAACATGTAATACGTATATTCTGCACTTTGCCAGTATAGAAAAGCCCTGAATTCTAATGTTCATAAGCTATTAGTCATATACTTACGGAGACTTTTAGATGCAAAGAACTAGAACATTATCTAGGAAGGAGCCTTCTCTTTACAGATGAACAGAGGGAGACCCAGGTAGGGCAAGTAATGGTTTTTAAATGCCATTTAACTAGATTCAGGAACATAACTCTCAGGGACCTAGAGACCTCTTCTGTTGGGAAAAGTTCCCAAGAGAAGTAATACCTACAGGGAATTTAGAGATAGGTGACATTAGTGAGATGAAGCCCTGGGAGGGGTTGGCTGTGTTGAGAACCATTCCAGGCTCAGGAAGCAGCAGGTGGGAGAAGTCCTGAGTCTGGAAGCATCAAAGCACCTTCAAGAAAGAGAGACTTCAGAACACGGAAAGCGGCTGGAAAAGAAAGCAAGGGTAGGAAAATGCAGAAGCTTGTGGGCCCAGTTATAGGTTATGTGCAAGCAGAGGCCGAGAAGGGGGTTACAAACGCAAGTAGGAGGAAGGAGAAAAGGGCTTTGACTATCATGTTTTGAAGCATCACACACCTGAAATTACCCCCAAAGAGCAGCAATTCAGTGCATGAGCTTTGAGATTAGACTTCTAGAGCTCACACCTCATCTATTTAGGTAGGTAGATGTAAAGTTGCTTAACTTCTCTGTGCCTCATTGTACTCATTTGTAAGTAGGGGGGATAATAATGTTACCTACCTCGTAGGGTTTTGTGAGAAATAAATGAGAATATACAAGTGCCTGACACTAGGAAGAACTCTATAAAAGTTTTCTGCAAAATACAGTAATCATAATAATTATAGTAATCATTTCAACCATCTTTTGAGCACAGCAAAAAGCATTCATTCTTCATGTATACATGCATAGGTCTACAATCCCTAATTAACAATTCTAAATCTCCAAGGCCCTGAAAAACCACGTTTTTCTAAAAGTTTGCCACACATTTATTTTGGTGACAGAACCTGACCTGAATGAATGTGAAACTATTTATGGTCTTTACGTATTGCATTTACTGTGAATATTCATTAGTTTTACTGTGGAAAATATTGCTGTATTTGATTCTGGGTTCTGTTCCAGACTGTGCTGGGAGGGGTATATAAATAGCACTAAAATCCAGAAAATTCTGAATTCTAAAACACATATGACTGCAAGTTTCAGGTAAGGAACTGTGAATCTGTATAATCTCACTCAATTCTCAGCCTAACCCTTTATATTGATATTATCATCCCAAGCCTGCTGCCATGAAAACTGAGGTTTATCAATAGTTTATATAATTTGCTCAAAGTCCCATGGCTCATTCAGAGATGGAGTTGAAATTTTGGTCTAGAATTATCTGACAACACTTTGAACCATGAGAGACATTTATAAACTTTCCTATCTCTTATTTATGCATATTTTTTCAGCATTTGCATAATTTAAATATTTCTATTTTCTAAAGAGCCATAGTTGATGTTTTCAGGAACTAGAAGCATTTTCATAACCTGATGGGTTTCTATTACCTAGAGGTTTTCTAAATAAGGGGCTCCTTTAACAGTGATGGTAGTAAGAATAATAATTATTATTCCTATTTTAAGTCAGCTATAATGTATCGAGCACTTCTTGTGTGCCAAACATTTAGCAAAGCACTTGGCACACATTGTCTCATATAATCCTTACATCAACCCAGTGAGGTAGGTGCTATTATTCTGTTTTATTAGGAGAAAACTTCAACTTAAAGACATTAAGGAATTGCCAACTGCACACAGATTGTAAGTAACAGAGCAAGAATTTGAATCCAGTAGACAGATTGCAGGCACTGCATTCTTTTTTTTTTCAAGCTCCTCCTGTGTTTTATAATGATTAAAATAACACATACATATACACATGACAAAAATTACAAACAGTAAAAAAATTACGCAATCTTCTGTTCCAGAATATAATGTAAATATATCACCTCTCACAGTCACCACCACCTACTTTCTTTTGTGTCATGTAGAAATTTGCCTTTGTGCATGTGTGTACATGTGTGCACACACACACAGTGTTTCTTTAATACCCACATGAATATACACATTGTTCTGTAGCTTACTTTTTTCATATAGCACCATATTGTAGAAACTTTTCCATATCAGCACATAGAAATCTAAATAATTGTTTTACATCTACTTAATGTTTCCGTGTATGGATGTAACAAATTTATTCAACTAGACTCCTGTGTATGAATATTTAGATTGTTTCTAACTTACGGCTCGTGCGAATTTGCTGCAAGTGAATATTTTTGCAAAACACTTTTTCATAGAGGTTTGAGCATATTTCTAAAATAAATTTTCAGGCAGTGGAAAATTTATGCTGGGTTAAAAGGACACCGAAGTTTAAAAAAACTAGAAAATATTGACAAATTTTCCCCCCAAAATATTTATTTTCCTAACAGTATGTCTTATGAAACTTTACAAATCCTCTCACATTTGAAGATGAAAACTGTAATGTTTTAGTTTCAATTTAAATTTAATTATTGACAAAGATGAGTACATTTTTCTGTTTACTAAACACTCATGTTTGTATTTCTAAAACGAACGATTCCTCTCCTTTATTCTTTTTTTCCATAGGTTCTCAAATATTTTCTTATTGGCTTTACAGAGCTCTTTATACATTAAGGATGAGTCTGTCTTCTATGTTGCAGATATTTTTCTGAGTTTTTAATTTGTCATTTAATTATATTATGTATAAACTGTAAAAAGGTGTAAATTTTTATGTTAATGTTTCAATCTTTTCTTAGAGCCCACACTCCTAACCATTATGCCTGTCTAATTTCCAGAATGATGACATTCATTCCAGTTTTATTGTCACTTTTGTTCAGGTGTTTTAACAGAACAAGTGGCAGGTCCTCTGGGACAGAACCTGGAAGTGGAGCCATATTCACAATACAGCAATGTTCAGTTTCCCCAAGTTCAACCACAGATTTCCTCATCATCCTATTATTCCAACCTGGGTTTCTACCCCCAGCAGCCTGAAGAGTGGTACTCTCCTGGAATATACGAACTCAGGCGAATGCCACCTGAGACTCTTTACCAGGGAGAGACTGAGGTAGCAGAGATGCCTGTAACAAAGAAGCCCCGCATGGGCGCATCAGCAGGGAGGATCAAAGGGGATGAGCTGTGTGTTGTTTGTGGAGACAGAGCCTCTGGATACCACTATAATGCACTGACCTGTGAGGGATGCAAAGGTAAGCATTTTCTCCAGATTGGCAGTTTTCTCCTTCAGCTTTTACTCTATTGGTTGTTGAAATCCCTTGGACTAGATGCTTTTCTTTCCCCAGGCAACTTCCCATTTTCTCCTCTGCTCCTACCTCCTCATCTTTGTTGGGCGGTCATTGATCTATAGGAAGACTGTGAAGAGTATTTAGCTTAGGTAGAAGTAATCTTTTTCCTTTTCAAAACCTCACACATAGCTAAAGACAACTTGTGATTAAATTTAACTTGTTGTAGGTTTTGTTTGTTTTTGTGTTCTTTTTAAGGAAAGAAGAAACTGTTTAACTCATCTCTTAAAATTAAGATAAAGAAGAATACAACTTTATTCAATAAATGTTTAAAAATACTGTTTCATGTGCTTTAGTTAATTGAGAAAGAGATAAAGAAAGATAGAGCAAAGTAATAATAGCTTATATTAAAAAAAATTTCATTTAGCCTGGGGGTGGTGGCTCATGCCTGTAATCCCAACACTTTGGGAGGCTGAGGCGGGTTGACTGCTTGAGTCCAGGAGTTCAAGACTAGCTAGAGCAACATGGAAAAATCCCATCTCTACAAAAAATAAAAAGATTAGCCGGGTGTGGTGGAGCACGCCTGTTGTCCCAGCTACTTGGGAGGCAGAGGTGGGAGGATCACCTGAGCTTGGGAGGTTGAGGCTGCAGTGAGCCACAATCATACCACTACACTCCAGCTGAGTGACGGGAGAGACCCTGCCTCAAAAAATACATATATTTTATTTAACTGTAATATATATTTGTGATAGATGCTATAGAGCAATCATAAGAAAATTGCAATCCATTTAGGATGGATAAAATATAACAAATGAAATATAAAAATGACAATGTAAAGTCCCATTTGTAAAATTTTAGAGGAAAGAACAGGATAGACTAATAGGTTCATCTGTTTATTATTATATTTATTCATTAAACAAATATTTGGGAACACCCACCATATGCTAGGAACTCTGCTAGCCTCTAGAACATTGAACACTGACTAAAAACTGTCTCTTGAGCAGTATCTTTTGGATGGTGTGCCACATTGAGGTTCTCAGATGCTGATAGTTGCTATGAAAATAAACAGAGGACCCACTCACATAAGAATGGCTCAAAGACATTTCAAACCTTTGAAAGTTCAAATGATCAGATTGTGTAAAGCCATATTAGTCACTTCTTAAAAACTGGGAATGACAATGTTAGAATTTTTTTTAAAATAAGAAGCATTAATACACCAACTTTAAAAACTAAAGCAGATCTATAAAGAAAACTTAAAAGATCCCATTTATGACCTTCAGAATGTCCTGAAACTTTTTGTGGAGAGTCACATTTGAATAGGTGAATGAACTTATACATTCTTTGGATGCATAATTATGTCTTCTCTACCTGTATTGCTACTCATAACACCTAGCACAGTGCCTGGTACATAGTAAATATGTAGTAAATGTCTTTTGAATGACACAATGAAAAACCATGTTCATCACTGGTACTTAGTAAGCATCTAGTTTGTAACACAAACTACATTCAAATTTTTTAATAATATTTAATTCTTCCCCATCTCCAAATGATAAAAAGTAAATATTACCTTCAATTCCTATATGAAGTGAAAGATCTTTTTGAGCTGACAGAATTGTGGAAATCAAGATCTGCTTATGTTATAGATTTTAAAGTTGGGTGGAATTAAAGCAGGAAAACATTTCTAATTGGTTAGAAAAATAAAATAGGCCAGGTGCAGTGGCTCATATGCGTAAGTCCCAGTACTCTCAGAGGCCAAAGCGGGCAGATCACCTGAAGTTAGAAGTTCAAGACTAGCCTGGCCAACGTGGTGAAACCCCATCTCTACTAAAAGTACAAAAATTAGCTTGGCATGGTGGCAAGCACCTGTAGTCCCAGCTACTCAAGAGGCTGAGGCAGGAGAATTGCTCAAATCCAGGAGGCAGAGGTTGCCATGAGCCAAGATTGTGCCATTGCACTGCAGCCTGGGTAACAGATTGAGACTCCATCTGAAAAAATAAAATAAAATAGTTTCCAAATGACAAGCCTGAAACTGGAACTAAAGTAAACAAAAATAAAACTTCTACAGATAGGTTTGAGAAACCAATTGCTCATCTATGTAAAAGAAAATGAACAAACTTTGTAGTAGCTCTAGTCAAAAAGTGACTGGGGCTCTTACAATGAAGGGCAAAATTAGTACCAAAAGCTGAAGCTTATAGGATGGCATGTTTTGAGGCCTAATTCAATAGTTAATTTTTTAGCACTAACATGAATTGTCCCAAAAATGAGATGGGCTTTTTGCCTTAGGTGGTAATAAACTTCTCATTATTATGAGAATTCAAAAAGAGGTTACATGAACAGGCTCAAGTGCTCCCATTACAGGAAATTAATATGTTATATGGGACACAGTATTAGTTGGCTTCTGAAGTCCTTCTTTAAATCCTTTGAATCCTTAGTCCCCATCTTTATAATATTCTAATTATTTCATGCCTGTTTCTTCTTCAAAGCAAGTTTGTAAATTTCATAAGTTGAAAAGTAACTGTAATTCATGAACTCCCTCCTATTGCTATGAATTGATGAAAGGGAAAGATAGACTATGGTTTTTAAACCTTGACACTATTGAGATTTTAGGCTGGAAAACTCTGTGTTGTGAGGGGATATCTTGTACGTATCATGGGATATTTAGCAGTAGCCTGGCCTCTATCCACTAGATCCCAGTAGCAACCCCCAATTTGTGACAACCAAGTGTCTACAGTTGTTGAAAAATGTCTTCTTGGGGGCAAAATTACCCCAGTTGAGAATCACTAAGAGAGACTATTCAGTGAAAAGTATAATATAGAGCTTCTCAAACTTGAGCTACACATGGAGTTTTCTTGAGGGAAGCTATAATATTTCTTAGGTGCCTCTAATGTTGACTTAAATTACTTTTAATGAATTACTTATGTTATTAAGCAATTATAGCATAAGCTATATTATAACTATATTATATTGTGTATCATCTTTTATACACTGAAATATTTCTATACAACAAAAGAACAAAAACAAATTTACAAAATTACATACAAACAAAACTACAAAACCAATAAAATAATATTAGATCATATAATTTTGCTGCTCAGTATGTTATCAAACTTAGGTTCTTCTGAGTTTGGTATACCTAGACTATGTATCATATGAGGCCTCAATTCTCCACTGCTTTTCTCTCTTTGAACAGTTGATTCTTCCAAACCTTTGTTCATGCAGAGCTCCGTTTGGCTATCCCTGAGCTGGGTACATCTTGGGCGTATGAAGTTTACCTTTGCCATTTTGCCATAGCTTTTTTTTTTTGGAGACAGAGTCTTGCTCTGTCACCCAGGTTGGAATGCCATGGTGCAATCTCCATTCACTGCAACCTCCGCCTCCTGGGTTCTAGTGATTCTCCTGTTTCAGCTTCCCTGAGTAGCTGGGATTACAGGTGCCCACCACCATACCTGGTTAATTTTTATATTTTTAGTAGAGATGGGATTTCATCATGTTGGCCAGGCTGGTCTTGAACTCCTGACCTCAGGTGATCCACCACCTCGGTCTCCCAAAGTGTTCGGATTACAGGCATAAGCCACTGCGCCTGGCCTGTCATAGCTCTTGACAACAAAATCATACTTCTTGCTGCTAATGGGCACAAATAAAACTAAGAGTGATTAGTTTGAATGTCAGTATAAGATGGTCATAGACATGATCCAGACAATGCTATTATTACTTTTTTAAATACTGTCATAAAATAAAATTGTAAAAAGTAAATTTAACATGTATAAAGGCCTTAGAAAAAATTGTGGCACATAGTCAAAACTCAATAAATGTTTGTTGTTTGTATTGTTACGGTCCTATAATTGATTTACGTATCGTGTAATGGCACTGTGAACATTTTCTGCCTATATTGATAAATGTTGATGCCCAATTCATTGTGAGTCGTTTAACAATATTTATTTGGCATAGATTCAGATTACCTACAGCCACTTCAACTTGTCTGTGTAGACCAATGCTACTAAAAGCATGGTACCTGGACCAGCAGTATCAGTAACACTAGAGAATTCATAGAATTTTGGGGTTTTACCTCAGACTTACTGAATCAGAATTTCTGGAAAAGGGGCCCAAGAATCTGTGATTTAACCAGCACTACATGCTAAAGTTTGAGAATACTGGGGCACAAATCATATCCAAAAAGCCACCTAAGGCCACTCATCTGGCCAAGCATCTTGGTTGTATGCTGTGACTGTGAAACCCACAGGACAAGAAAAGAGAACAGAAAGAATGCTTCCCTCCAAAAGCACAATTCAGTAGAATAAAATGCAGTCTTGAAACCTGAACTGGAAAGACACAAAGTCTAATCTAACTCCTCTTTCCTGATAGGGGAGAAAGAAGCAGAAAAAAAATGTATAATTTATTGTGAAAATCTGATACAAAGAAAAATTTCAATGTATATACTTTTGAACCTACAAATTTCAGTGCTGATGACATGCTAATTCTTATGGTAGGCATTTTAGAAACTTTCTCTTTGGACTTTACAGCAACTATGGATAGTAGGTATTTTTGTGCCTATTTTAAAGTAAGGAATAAGCATATTATTCCCAAAATAAGCTAAGATTTAGGGATGCCAGTGCTAATAACTTGTGTTATGTGTTTTACTATACTTTTTTTTTCCGAGATGGGGTTTTGCTCTTGTTGCCCAGGCTGGAGTGCAATGATGCTATCTCAGCTCACTGCAACCTCAGCCTCCTGGGTTCCAGTGATTCTCCTGCCTCAGTCTCCTAAGTAGGTGGGATTACAGGCCCCCGTCACCATGCCCAGCTAATTTTTTTTTTTTTTTTTGTATTTTTAGTAGAGATGGGGTTTCACCATATTGGCCAGACTGGTCTGAAACTCCTGACCTCAGGTGATCCACCCGCCTTGGCCTCCCAAAGTTCTGGGATTACAGGTGTGAGCCACCACACTTGGTCATGTTTACTATACTTCAGTAATAAACGTATTAATTCTCATACCTTATGTCCATTTTATTTTCTCAAATTTATGACTGACATACCAATTGTACATATTTATGGGGTACAATGTATTTTGATACATTTATAAATGTGTAAAGATGAAGTCAGGGTAATTAGCATATCTAATAGCTTAATTTATTATATTTTCTTTTTTTTTTTTTTTGAGACGGAGTTTCGCTCTTGTTACCCAGGCTGGAGTGCAATGGCGCGAGCTCGGCTCACTGCAACCTCCGCCTCCTGGGTTCAGGCAATTCTCTTGCCTCAACCTCCTGAGTAGCTGGGATTACAGGCACGTGCCACCATGCCCAGCTAATTTTTTGCATTTTTAGTAGAGGCGGGGTTTCACCATGTTGACCAGGTTGGTCTCAATCTCTCGACCTTGTGATCCACCCGCCTCGGCCTCCCAAAGTGCTGGGATTACAGGCTTGAGCCACCGCGCCCGGCCTTATATTTTCATTATGAGAATATTAAACAACCTCTCTTCTACTTATTTTGAAATACACAGTATATTATTGTTAACTCTAGTCATGCTGCTATGCAATACAACATCAGACATATTCCTTCTATTTAACTGTACCCTTGGACCCGTTGACTAATCTCACTGTCCTCTTTTCCCTCCATCCTCCTCATCCTCTCATACTCTCTATTCTATTCTCTATTTCCATGAGCATAACGTTTTAGTCCACGTGTAAGTGAGATCATGCGGTATTTGTCTTTCTGTGCTTGCCATATTTCACTTAAGGTAATTCCTCTGGACTTACCATGTTATCACAAATGGCAGGGTTTCATTCTTTTTTTATGTCTCAATAGTCTTCTATTATGTATACATACCACATTTTCTTGATCCATTCATTCACTGATGAACATTTAAGTTGATCCCGTTTTGGCCATTGTGAATAGTGCTGTAATAAATATAGGAGTGCAGATATCTCTTTGACATACTGATTTCATTTCCTTTGGAAGTATACTGTGTGGTAGGATTCCTGGATCATATGGTAGTTCCATTTTTAATTTTGTGAGGAAACTTCATATGTTTTCCATTATGACTATACAAATTTACACTCCCACCAGCAGTAAGGGTTTACTTTTCTCTACATCCTTGCGAAAACTTGTTTTCTTTTGATTTCTTGATAGTCATTCCAAATGGAGTAAGATGATATCTCATAGCGGTTTTTTTTTTTTTGAAACGGAGTCTGGCTTTTGTTACCCAGTCTAGAGTGCAGTGGTGGGATTTCTGCTCACTGCAAGCTCCACCTCCCTGGTTCAAGTGATTCTCCTGCTTCAGCCTCCCAAGTAGCTAGGATTACAGGCATGTGCTACCACGCCCAACTAATTTTGTATTTTTAGTAGAGATGGGGTTTCTCCACGTTGGTTAAGTTGGTTTCGAATTCCTGACCTCAGGTTATCGGCCTGCTTTGGCCTCCCAAAGTGCTAGGATTATAGGTGTGACCATTGTGCCTGGCCACTCTCAGTATAGTTTTGATTTGCATTTCCCTGATTAGTGGTGTTGAGATCCTTATGCCCATTTTATGGAAATAGAAGCTGAAGCATAAGTTAATCTACTTACCCAAGTTTTCATAGCTAATAAGAGCTTTAAAACTATACCTTGTAATCTAACTCCAGAGCCTGCATGATTGACCACTAGGCTATGATGCCTTTTATTGGTTGTTTACTAAGTGATCTTCTACCCTTCAGTTGTTTGCTCAAGGGTGATATTGACTAATTCAGTGGCCAGAGGAAGAAAACCAAGCAGTCCATTTAGATGTTAAGGTATCGGTATTGTTTCAGCCAAGGGAATGAACCCATAAAGTCATTAACCTTGGATGGCTTACCTCCTTAGAGGTGAATTTGTCTTTCTGTTTTTGTGAACTGTGCTTATGGCCAAGTGAAACTTGGTCCACCTGAGAAGAGTTTTGGGGCATGGCAGGGTAAATATACTGAGACCAGTGGTCCAAGGACAACCCTAGAATACACTTATCCAAAAGGTGGTCAGGGGAAGAGAAGTAAGCCCACAAAGGATATAGAATAGAAGTCAGAGATAGAAGTCTACAAGGAAGTACAGGATCACAGAAGGCAAGGAGACAGAGAAAGTAGTCAGAAGAGAGCCAACCTTTGGGGAGATTTAGGAAGGAGAAAGACAGAATTTTTCTATTGATTTTGATTTAAGACTTTGTCCCCATCGTGTCAGGAGAAGGACAAGTATGCAAGGCAGAGGATCGATTGGAGCCAGGCAGGGCCCATGTTCTACACCATGGGTTGGCACATTTTTTTCTGTAAACATCCTGACAGTAACAAGCTGAGGCTTCACACCACAGCAGCCTCTGCTGCAACTAATCAACTCTGCTACCAAATTGCAAAAGCCACCACATAGAAAATGAGCTTAGCTATGTTTCAATAAGTTTTTCTTACAAAAATAGGCAGGAAAATAAAATAAAATAAAAAAAACAGACAGTGGGCTGACGGCAGATTGCTGCCAATGACTTTTTTTTTGAGACGGACTCTTGCTCTGTTACCCAGGTTGGAATGCAGTGGCGTGATTTTGGCTCACAGCAACCTCCGCCTCCTGGGTTCAAGCAATTCTCCTGCCTTAGCTTACCAAGTAGCTGTAATTACAGGCACCTGCCGCCATGCCCAGCTAATTTGTGTATTTTTAGTCGAGATAGGGTTTCACCATGTTGGCTACGCTGATCTTGAACTCCTGACATCAAGTGATCCCTTGTCTTGGCCTTCTAAAGTGCTGCGATTGCAGGCATGAGCCACCACACCTGGCCTTGACCAATGACTCTAAAAAATCAGTCTACAAATCAACTGGAAGCTGTATAGTGAGTGAGCACAAGACTCAACTCACAGATCATAGATGCGAGAAATGTAATCTTATTTTGTAAAATTATATTTCATTCAGTCTCAAGCTCTGGTGGAAACTTTATTTCATTTTATTCAGGATCATTCCATTCACCCCCACCAAAATTCTTCTGGGGGTTCATCTAAGTACCAGGACTAAGGTAGGGTTGTGGAGGGATTGGGCACTGGGGAGTGGTGCTCTGGTCTCACAGCTGTGGGGCTAGGTGGGGCATGTGCCACAGCTGTTGACAGTCTGAAATCTGTTGGACTGCTCTTCTATTTGGTCTTCAGTCTCCAGTAGGAAAGGTCTCTGTGGTACCATCCTTGGGTCCTGAGCACACTCCTCCATTACATCTGGTTCTGTCTGTCTTTTTGATTCAACTCAGGCAGGTGGGTTCCGATGTTGCTTCAGTGCTGTGTTGGGATGTCTGGCTGCCCAGAGAAACCATGTAGCCATTTCATATGCTCTGTCATGCTGGCTGCAGGGAACTCTGGGGATTTATCCAGCTCTACCCAGGACAGGGCACAAGAATCCCTGTCTTCTAGGATCCCAAATGACATGGAGTTTCTATCATCTCTCAATCCACCCATCCTAGGATTCTGTCTGAGGATAGGGAGGTGGGAGGGACAGAGCTCAGGACCTTCTCAGGTACCGAATATGTCTTACCTCTTTGACTTCCTCTTTTGTTGTCTGCTTCTTCCCAACTTGAATACATTGTATCTGGTCTTTAGGAATTGGGGGCTTAAGTTTTGGTGACTGAAAAACCAAAAATAGTCTCCTTTATGTTCTTTATATGTTCTCCTGTGGAAAAAAAAATGGAAATTAAATTAGCTTAGTGAATGGAGGAATGAGGAAGGGCTGTGAGGAAAACCAGATGGGAAGGACAGAACAGGGTGGCATGCCCATTGAGAGGACTAATGTCTCATGCCTGCAGGTCTTGTGAGAGCTGCTCAGCCAACCTGGTTTCCTCCCTACCACCCCGCCACCCACTTCCCCTGTGCATATGTCTTGGATGTCTGCACTCAGCAGATGCAAAGTGAATTTTACTCTGTAATTTTCCATCAAAGGGAGTATGGGCTTTGGGGGCAGGCAAGCTCACATTAAATCTAGGCTCTGCACTTCTTGGCTGAATAAACAAGTTACTTAATATTTACTGGTTAGCATTTAATGAAATAAAACAGAAACCAACATTTCAAACAGAAAGGAATTAATACAGTCAGAGTAGCAGGATCTATGCTAAGTTTCCAGGAGTTGCTCAGAGCCACACTGCAGAACTGGCCTGCCGGTTGCTCTTCTGACACAATCAAGAAGATGGGGATTCAGGAAGCCACCTCAGGACTGCTGGCTCCAGGAAGACACCACCTCAGCTGCCATCTAGGGATCAGAAGTTGCCTTTACTGCAGTCACTCCAGAGCCGGGGCTTGCCTGCCATGTCTGCACCTACAAGCAATGAATATCCTGCACCCTGCCTTTCAATACCCTCAGAGCTAGCAACTGGAAGCCAGGAGGCTGCCACAGCAAAACTCCACAATCCCGCTTACCAGTAGAAACAACAGAAGAACAGCTTGCTTCCCCTTTCCAAATGTCTTACAGGGGCATCTCTATGGCAGAGCTTAAATCGTATCCACCATGTTAGCTGCAAAGGGAGTCTGGGCAAGGTTATGTTCCTGCCTCTTTGTTAATAGGATGTGCACTAGACTAGAAGGGAGGTGCAGTAGATATAAGGCTAGTTAATCCTTAAGACAAATTAACACTTACTTTCTCTGAGCCTGAGATCTGCAAAATGGGGATATTATCTATTTTACAGGGCATTTTTGTCGATTGTACAAGATTTACATTATATTTTAGAATTTACCAGATCTCTTGGTTTAGGATTTCACTGAAGCTCTGTCAGACCTGTGATATTTAAAACAAATAAAACACAAGATAATTTTTAAAAATCCTTAGAAACAAAACAAAGATCAGAGTTCAATTTCCTCATTTCATTGGACTCTTTATGTGGTTCCATTAAAAATATTTTAACTTGTCTCTGTGTTTTTATTTGTCATAAGTATTTATGGCATCAATGAGAGAAATTATGTTTTTTCATTTTTTTAAGTAATAACTTGGGAACACGAGCATCACGTAGAGTGACAATGACTGCCATTTCTCAGCACTAGATTAAATCAAGAGCTTTCTTTCGCCCTCATTTATCAATGCAGCATATGGAAGTGTGCTAATGTCTGAATGAACTTTTATTCAAACCTCAAACCTCAGCTAACAAAACCGTTAGTTAGCATCTGACTGAAATTCAAATGGCCACATTTCCAAATAGGTCAGTGTCTGTCATATACATTTCAATGCCAAGAGAATCTACACATATCAGAGAGAGAATGGTAGAATTCTTAAAAGATACTGTCTGCGTAAAAGAGTGACCCTACTGCCTTTCTGAATATATTTTTGTATAAGATCATGAACCAGAATTAGACTTGGCTCTGAAGTTTTAAAAAAGCTTCCAAAATTATTGAAACGATTCCAGTATAGAATGGATGTAGTGTTTCCAAAGGATCTTTTGTTTATGGACATTTGTGAAAGCTGAAGAGCCCTGATCTTTATATAAACTAAGATCAAGTGAGGTCTGATTTTATACAATTTAATAATTATCCTGAAGATCTCTAGAGGTCAAATTATCTTGGAGTATGATGGAAGATGGGGATCCAAACTATTTCACTCCATTGGAAGCCTTTTGCAGTGTTATGAAAATCATGGGACGAGAAGGACCCTTAAGGCAAACGGCATGGATTCCAATCCCAGCTGATTCTCTTCCCACGTGTCTTAAACTAGTTAACCTTTCCAAGCTTTAGACTCCTCACCTGTAAGATAAGGACAACAGTGAAGATGATAATAAGGATGAGGAGATGACGGTGATGATGATGATGGTGATGATGGTAATGTTGGTAATGTGGTGATGATGATAGTAATAAACATGTTGATAGATAACCTATATCAAGTGATTACTATGTGAGGGACAGTTCTGGGGTCTTCATATGTACTAATTTGTTTAATCTTCAGGACAGTCTTTTGAAGCAGGTATCTATAGACTCTTATGAGGGTTACATAAATAGATGTGTATAAAGGACATAACATGGTTCATCCCAATGCTAAATCCTCAATAATTCCCTGCTGTTCTTACTATGATCATTGGGTTGTTGTGAATTTTTAAAAATGGGATATTGTTTTTAAAATATCTAGCTCTGTACCTGGCACTCTTTTAAAAAAGTGTTTTTTAAAATTTCAATAGCTTTTGGGGTACAGGTTTACAAGTGGTTTCTTGTTATGTGAATGAATTGTATAGTGATGAATTCTGAGATTTTGGTGTACCTGTCACTGAAGTAGTATACATTTTATCCAATATGCAGCTTTTTATCCCACACTTCTCTCCCCTTCCTGCTTCTGAGTCTCCAAAGTCCATTATACATTCTGTATACCTTTGCGTGCTCATAGCTTAGCTCCCAATAATAACATATGACATTTGGTTTCCCATTCTTGAGTTACTTCACTCAGAATAATGGCCTTCTGCTTCACCCAAGTTAGTGCAAAAGATATTATTTTATTCTTTTTTATGGCTGAATAGCATTCCATGGTGTGTGTGTGTGTGTGTGTGTGTGTGTGTGTGTATATATATATATATATATCTATATATATATCTATATATCTATCTCACATTTTCTTTATCCACTCATTGGTCCTTGGGCACTTAGGCTGGTAACGTATCTTTGCAATTGTGAATCTGGCTGCAATAAACATACATGTGCATATGTCTTTTTCATATAATGACTTTTTTTTCCTTTGGGTAGATATTCAGTAATGGGATTGCTGGATCGAAGGGTAGTTCTACTTTTAGTTCTTGAAGAAATCTCCCTATGTTTTCCATAGAGGTTGTACTAATTTACATTCCCACCACAGTGTCTAAGCATTCCCCTTCCACTACATCCATACCAACATCTATTATTTTTTTATTTTTTAAAAAATGGTAGTGTCTCGTGATTTTAATTTGCATTTCCCCAATGATTAGTGATACTGAGCATGTTTTCACGTGTTTGTTGGCTGTTTGTATATCTTCTCTTAAGAAATGTCTGTTCATGTCATTTGCCCACTTATTGATGAGATTACTTGTTTTTTTTTTTTTCTTGTTGATTTATTTGAGTTCCTCATAGATTCTGGATACCAGTATTTTGTCGGATGCATAGTTTGCAAATATTTTCTCCCATTCTGTGAGTTGTCTGTTTACTGTGATGATTTCTTTTGCTGTGCAGAGGCTTTTTAGACTAATCAGGTCCCACTTATTTATTTATTTTTGTTTTTGTTGCATTCACTTTTGGGGTTTTAGTCATGATGTACCTGGCACTCTTATGTGCTCAGTAATCATTAGATGTTGCTATTTTGTTGATGAATTCTTACGTGTTATTCCTCTGTTCATCCAGCCTCTCCAGTTTGGGTCATACACTGTTTTCAAAACTCTCCCTCTTCCTATTAATTAGGCCAATTCTTTATTCAGCAAATATTATTAAGTACCAACTTGTATGCCAGGCTCTATTCTAAGCTTAGGAGATGCCTTGGTGAGCAAACCAGACCAAATTCTTGCCTTCATAGCCACTATTTGAAGCAAAAGCAGGAAAACAATCTCTATAACTGAGCTAAAATAGATAAAAAGACAAAACAGTCAAGCAAACAAAAATATTAAGAAATATAAAATCAGGCCGGGATTATTGCTCACACCTATAATCCCAGCACTTTGGGAGGCAGGTGGATCACGAGGTCAAGAGATTGACCTGGTCAACAAGGTGAAGCCCCATCTCTACTAAAAATACAAAAAGTAGCTAGGCATGGTGGTGCATGCCTGTAGTCCCAGCTACTTGGGAGGCAGAGGCAGGAAATTGCTTGAACCCAGGAGGCGGAGGTTGCAGTGAGCCGAGATTGTGCCATTGCACTCCAGCCTGGGTAACAACAGCGAAACTCCGTCTCAAAATAAAAATAAAGAAAGAAATATAAAATCAATAAAAGAGTATCTAAAAGAATACATGGAAAAATGCAATGGTAACAAGATGATTTTGGTAGATATTAACTGATATTTCAGGTAAACACATAGGTGATGAGGCAAGATAAACTAAGATGATAAAAACTAGATTTAAACAAAAAAATGTTTAAAGTAAATGTATAAGCAGTATGTTTAAGTAATGATTAAAAGAAAGTTCCTAAAGCATAAATTACTAAATGAGAAAAATTACAAATCTACACCCAAGAAAAAATGGAAATAGTCATTTAAGCAGCAGTTTGGAGGTGAAGGGTTTCCACCCCACAGAGCAAACGATTCCACCTGGGCTCAGGCAGCTACAAGTAGTAGCAGGAGGCACTTCCCAGTGCTGGAATTACCTATTAGGAACCCAGCACACCCTAAGAAACCCCAGGGAAGATGCTGGGGAGCAGGTGCTGGTCACTGTGAGCCACCAGCTTCTGGGGGTTTGTCTACCTGGCACTTTAAATGGTCACTGAAGATATGCAAAGCCAAGCTCCAGCAGAGCATTGTAACCCCTGTTGTCATCCTCTCAGCAGATACACAGTAGGTCTGACGGTGTCAGTGGGTTTTTGCTTTCTACTCCTTTAGACTCCTTCATCATTTAATAAGCATTTTGTCAAAGCAATGAGTGTATATGATTCCAAAGTCAAATGGTAAGAAGGGCATATCATTAGAAAAAGGCCCCACCCCTACCCTCTCCACCTGCTCCTAGAGGCAACCCCTAAGAACCACTTCAGTTTTCTTT